GCTTACTTCCTTGCGTACGGATGACAGCCGCGTATGACATAATTTATTTTCTGGTGCTTTCACTTCCAGTTGTAAGCACCGTGTAACTGCCTCGAGGGTGCTTGACCATTTTAACNACCCACCTCCTATGCCCCAGTACAGCTACCGTCCTTTCCTCTCTATTCCATGCCTTAAACATCTCCCTGTACGTCCTATCTATTTTTCCCAGCTCAGTCACGTACACTTCCCTCTCCTTCTTGCACAACGGACATTCCGCGACGACATGAACACGGTCTTCGCATTCGAAGCCGCAATCACATTTGAACTCGTCGTCTTCGTCGTCTACCGTCCTATGTCTTCGTCGACGTGGGGACTAAGTAGCGGTTTCCTCGTGTACAACTATGGTCCTGGGTGGGGCAGACACATGGTCCAGGTAATAACAACGTTTTGATTTAACAGCTATGGTTTGCGTGCACCTACTTTGTTTGTCTGGGCCGCAAAGAATCTGGCATGTTTCGACACTGCCCTATGAGGCGTTCTTCTCTGGGCACGAATCTTTCATGCATGGTGCTACTGCTGCTATGATAGGGCCGCCGGGAAAAAAGGATTGCGGCATGCCGTCGGCAGTCGAGCATTCCATATCTTTTGCAGCTAACTGGGCACCCAAGTATGACTTCCTGAGCCTTTTGAGACTTCCTCTCATGCTTGCCGTGCCGTGTGCACTCGGCTTGTGTCATCAGGGTCTGGGAAGAAGGGTAGGACCGGCAAGGACGCCTATATTCGAGTTCCGTGCGGCACGCTCGTTTCGGAGGTGGTGCAGGTAAGTGAATCGCTCGTGCTGCATCGTAGGAGCGGAGTGCGTCGAGTCGTGCTCGCAGTGAACTATATATTTCCTCTTTCCTCTTACGGAGCAGCACCCCTTGCGCCCGTACACTACAGTTACGTATACAGCATATAGTATACGCTTGCTTGGTGGTCGTCCTCATGTTCTGGTATAACTGCCTGAGCGCCTCCAGTCTCATAACATGCTCCACCGGTATCGGGATTCGAATCGAATCGAATGTCAGTGTTGAATCCTTTGGGGCATGCGATCGTGATGAAGCAGCTGTGCGCCAGATCTGGAACACATATCGAGCAAAGCAGGCTCGGGATGGCTTGATTCCGTTTTTCAGCCACATCGCGTGCAGTGACGAAGCAGCCTTGTGGGATATACATTTTCAACCGTCGTCGCGGTAACCCTCGAGTACGCGTACTGTAGTTCGAGCTTCCTTTATGCCTGAATCGCGCAATACGCTGTCTGGTTGCGCACGTCTCTTTGAATACCCTTGCCATGTGGATCAGGAAGAAGAAAAATATGGGTTCCATCCTTGGGCACTGGCCGGTGGGATCGAATGCGGTGGTAAAAAATCTATCGCGCAAGGAGCCGAGGGCGAAGAAGGGGGCGAGGAATCTGCTTTCGACGGCGACAGTTATTGGGGCGAAGATAACCACGAGGAGGTATAACGGCCTCCTTCAAGAATCGGTATATGGCTCTACCGTAGCGCACCTTGTGACCATATTTTCTGTCGGGGCCGACGAACTTGAGGTTTTCCAACCCCTTGGATTTTGCCGGATACTGAATTGCTGCTGGCGACGCTTGTCACCGCCTCCGAAACTCAGTTCAAGCTTTGGGTGGATGCTTCTTGTGTGGAGCATGCACACGATCACCCTCGCGCCCTCGGCGAATCCGCACACCTTGTTGTGTGTGAACCAGGAAGAAGAAGAAGTGCGTTATGTGGCCGACTTGGAGAAGGATGGCGACAAGGTCCTTTTGGCGTCAGGAGGAAAACCGGGGCTAGGTAACCTACACGTGGCGTCTCGCAGAGTGGGCACGGTGAGCGAGTGGTGTCCATCCCGTGTTTTGATCTATCGAAGGGAGCTTGTCTTCTCATTTGATCGTATGTGCAGTGTGCGTGTTGTTCTCCACGGCCGAGATCAGGCTGAATGATTCGGCCCGCCAGTGGGTTGAAACCATGGATATTGCTCGTACTCTCGTCGCCTACCGTTGTGTGGACTTGTAACGGCGATGTTGTCTCAGCTCACAGCAAGCTCACAGGTCTGATTGTTGTTGTTGTTGTTGTTGTTGTTGTTGTTGTTGTTGTTGTCTTCACATTAACAACCGTACCTTCATCTGTCCGTACTGAGTAAACACTTGACCGATCAACGCCCGTGGTTACAGGCCAAGTTGCCTAAAAGGTATCTCAAATAAAATGGACCCGAAGGGTACGCAAGCCAATTGAAATCAACGACAGATTGTCTGGGCCCCTCCCCCCCTCTACACGCTATGTGGGGCAGAAATGAAAGTCGAAGTCAACATCATATGCCAAGGAGACAGAGAGGTACACTCGATCCCCTGGTTCAATCTTGGTACTGCACAGAGAGAGGGAGGAGGCCATTCGGGAAAGAAACGAAATGGACAAAAGAGAACGAAAAAAATAAGAACAGAAAAGAAGGCAAGAAAAAACAAAGATAGTGGAAATCGTGTTTTCGGGTGTCTCCCAGTGCAGTACTAATGGCCGAAGGCTCAATTCAGTTAGTAATGTGAGCCAACGGATATCCGCTGTGTCTCTGTGCAGCTCCCCCGTTCCCCCGACCCAACCGCCATTTGTAACATGTTGTGTGCTGGTTGATGACCCTTTCCTGTCATGAGCTCTCACGATGCGCGTACCACGTGCGTCGAATTTTCTCAGAAAATTCCTGGGCAGCGCGGAGAGAGCCGGCACTACCGCTTCGAGCTTAGAACAATCGCGGACGTGGGTCTTGTGGGGTACCCGAACGCCGGCAAGTCTACCCTGCTCGGGTGCATCACGAGCGCTAAGCCCAAGGTCGCCATGTACCCATTCACTACCCTTACTCCCGTCGTGGGACACGTCGAGTACTCGGTGAGAGAGTGAGCGAGCGATGCACACCAGTGTAGCAACGTCGGGAGAATGGAAGCCAGGTCGGCGTAGAAAGAGGATGTAGGTTTGCAGTGGAGTCGCAGCACGGCTGGCTGAGAAAATGATAAAACACGAGGTACGACTTTGCAGCTGGACTGCTCGCTGCCTTGAGAGCAGGTATGAAGGGGGCGAAGAAGACGAAGTTTGATTTTGATTACTAATTTTGAAAACAAACGCAAGAGCACCAGAAATTGCACAACAGACACACTAGACCGGGCTGAAGGCATCGCGAAAAACAGAAATCGTTGATTCTCGCACAGCGCGGCAGTAGAGGCTGCTTGAAACATGCATTTCACGCGTCTACCTCCACACGCCTCCTTTGAAATCAAGATAATAATCCACACATTCTAAATTCAGGACAACAGCGCCAAAACGGAAGGCGCTCAAACAAGGTCAGTTTCGAGGGTTAGGTGGCGCATTTAATTGTCATCGGTAGAGGACATCATGAAGAGATGTCGTGCGTGTGGCACACGTTCAGGTTTGCTGCTGGAGCTGAAACATCGAAGGTCGCAGCAGCCTTTGAAAACCGTTTGAAATCTGCGCCGGAACCAAGCGGCAGCCAACATTTGTCACAGCCGTCCTCGCCGCCACTGACCCCAATTTCCTGAACTGCGGGTGTACAGCAGTAGCTGATACCACTAGCTGCTGCTGACAACCCTCCTTTCAGGGATTTACGGTCCGTGGCGGTGAGCACGGCTGTGACAAATGTTGGCTGCCGCTTGGTTCCGGCGCAGATTTCAAACGGTTTTCAAAGGCTGCTGCGACCTTCGATGTTTCAGCTCCAGCAGCAAACCTGAACGTGTGCCACACACGCGACACGCTGCTGCGACCTTCGATATACGCACGACGCCTCTTGATGGGTGTCCTCTGCTGATGACAGTAGAATGCACCACCTGACCCTGGCGGCAAGGTTGTTTTCTTTCTTTGTATAGGAATAGAGAATAGGAAAAAGAGCCAGCGTCACAACCCTTTTTCTTTACCCCCTTAATAGGTCATGTTTCCTTGCTCGTCGCGGGGAGTTGGCATGAAGAATAAGGTCGCTGTCGGCGTTCTGCACACCCAAGCCTTCATGTCGCCATCATGGCAGCAGCGGCAGATGTTTGCCCTTTCCTTTTCCGCACGGTTTGAGTGTTTTTCATCCCTGTGGAGAGGGCGATGTCTGAAAGCCACTACGCCACTAAATTTACGTCGCCTCCAGTAACATGACAGGTGGGCAATGCTAGCGTCCCTCAGCTCATGGCTCCTCAAGTCATCAACTGCGTTATGTGGACCCCTCTTTGTGTTTGTTCACATCACACACAACATACCGACAACGCCGCCTCCATATTTCAGGACACAACCCGCCTCCGAGTGGCAGACATCCCCGGTCTCATCGACGGGGCGCACCGAAATCGCGGGCTCGGGCACGAGTTTTTGCGGCACGTGTCGAGGACTCGGGCGCTCATGTTCGTGGTAGATGCAGCGGGGTCGGAGGGGCGAGACCCGGTGGATGACCTCATGAGCCTCAAGGAGGAGCTGAGGCTGTACGACGGCGAGCTGGCAGGGAAGCCGGCTTTCGTGGTGGCGAACAAGACTGACTTGCAGGGTAAGTTAACCGTGTCATCGGTGAGGGAGAGTCGGAGAGTGTTAGGGCTCCCGCGAGAAGAGGAAGACACAACGCTCGACGTACGTCAACGCACATGAATCAGCTTTTGTTTGTTCCATGGATTGTGGGAGGGATTCCGGTGTTCTGCGTCTTGGCGTTTCGGGTGTCAACGGCTTCATCTCATCTCGACTCCTTGATGTGTTTGGGTGTAGCTGGTTGTGTCGCACGGCTAGCACTCAATTTCAACTGCGAAACATTTTGAGCAGAAGGGAAAGGTTGGCAACTCCGGCACGTTGACTGGGGTCAGTCGCCACACAACCGAACCATGCTAGAGGCATGGCAAGCAGTGTGTTGAATTCCCACCTACCCTGCTGCGTTCTCTAATTGGCTGCAACGTTTCCCAAGAATAATATAATAACCACTCTATGCTCTGTGGGTTCCCCTTGTTTCTCTTTCGCGATGGTGTTGCAGAGACCGAAGGGCATCTCGAGAGGCTGCGCCGTGCTGCCGGTCCTCTACCAGTCGTCCCAATCAGGTGTGGCGAGGATAACAAGGGGATGGATCATGCCGATGTTTCGGAACGAGAATGTTATAGTTACAGTGGCCTTGCGGTTTTCCATGCTCCTTGGGCTTCAATGGTCAACAACTTGGTCCTACAATAATGATTTTGGTTATTGCACTTTCATTACACACGTCGTTAGTACAAGGTTGAGGTTTTGAGAAGTCCTCACCAATTTTTCATGCCAATATACCCAAGTAACTCCCTCCCGCATATCCTCTCCCCGTAACCTGCGCATTCTTTGTTGGCACGACGACGTTCTTAAAAACAGCGCGCTCGAGTCTAGAGGGTTGTTAGAGTTGGTCGTGACGATGCGACAAGTTCTAGAGGAACACTCGCCTGGCAACCGCACTGATACGTCGGGCGGAGAAAGCGAGGTAGGGAATTAAGATGGTGCTGCAGATTGAGGTAGACATGAAGAGGGAGCCGCCGCCGGCGGAAATAACATTGAGAAGGGCCCCGCGGTGCCTGGGACAACACCAACGGTGCGATGGATGCGTGAGGAGATGTAGACGAAGCTGGGTAGGCTAGAATAGAACCAATCCATCACGCAGCGCTCTGTGATGAGCTTCTTAGATTGCCGCAAGTGACATATGTACTTCGCATTCTAGTTTCGGTTGATGCCTTGTCTAGGCTGAGGACACGTCGCCCGATCAAGGAGCTTGGTCAGCTTGGTCAAGAAATATCATGGAAGAAAGCCTTGGCAATAATTTAGTGAACGCCTTGGAGCTCAGGAAGCACCTACCAATACTTTTGCACTTGCCGATTTCGGGACAACGAATGGCAAGACGAAAAGGGCAGAAAAAACAAACATTTACCGACAAACGTGGGGAGCGGGGGCGAATTGTCATTCCCGGGGGCGAAGATCGCCGGCCAACCCAGCTATTCTTCTTTCTGCCTCTTTGGCACATGTTTGGGCCCCGACGTCGTAGGTTCCAGCGCAAGATCGGCAAATAGGTCCTAATGTGTGGGTTGAGGGGATAGGCCCGAAAAAAAATCAGACGAACGCCAGCGCGGATCTCTCTCCCCGTTTCTTTTTGTTTTCAAATATTTTTCGCCCCTCCACTGCTACGTTCCTTTGAGAGCGCCCCAACGCATTCTCTTCAGCCAAAACTATAGAACACTTTCATTTATCCTTTTGTGCACCCCCGGGGCGTTCACCCAGAATGTATCGGGATACAGCACTACACCCGCTTGGGCATCCGTTCATCGGCGCCAAAGTGCTTTCTTGCGCTCACTCATGTTTGATCTAGCCTCACCCGCAGATTCTAGTATACGGCAAAAGAACCACAAGGAGAGGAACTGCACCAAGCCTACATGGTTGTTGATGAACGGGTTTGCCGGGTGCTTCAAGGACCTCGGGGTGGGCAGGATATATATATACTCTTGCCAGCACCAACGTCTTGTGGGTAAAGCAAGCTGTTCGAATTCATCCTCGACCTCCATGCCTATCAAATCTAGGGCAACGCTAGCTTACATGTGCACAAAGAAACAGGGCTTGACGAACCAATGAGGCATCGCGCCGCTGTGACAAACATCGCCCACATGCTCCATGTGACGGAAGCAAAGCAAGGGTACCTCCCGCACCTCGGTAACCTCGTGTGTTTGGCCAGCATTCAACGACCAAAAAACTCCCGAACAAGCCCGCGGGCAAGCTACCGACGTACCCTATCGGTTTAGTTTCGCCAAGAGAATCTTGCACATTACCACTAACCTTAAATCTTTCAAAAGTTCAATCCTACAATTACAAGATTACAAGAGGAGCATCGTACAGCACCAGCCACCCGCACGTTGCCATTTTGGTGCAGAAGCAACAGAAGCCGAACCCAGCAAGTCTTCGACACACTCCTTGCTCCTCGTTTCCCCACCCCTTATTCCTCCTTGAAGCGCATCTCGAGTCGCTTCTTGTCGGTCGTGATGCGTAGCAGCCAGTACGAGAAAGCCAGCACATGAGCGACCACCTTGTTCGTGGACACGTGATGTGGCAGAAATGAAAAAAAGGTCACGCGGCGGAAAAGGAAAAAGCTTCTGCTGCAAGCTGCACGTATGAACAGAGGCGTCTGACTGGCTGGGGGCAGATAGAGCGTCAACCCTACCCGTACCTTGACTACTCTTCAAACACGTAACCGCTACTGCGAGCTATGGCGGATTTCATACCAGTAGTCTACATTGATTGACGTTTAGACACTGCTGCACGTAGAGTTGCAGGTTGCAGCGGTAACAAGCGATTTTGAAACCTCTCCCGTAGTCCGATCGGGACTCCCCTGCAGCAGAAGTATCGTAGTATCACCGCTGTATCGAGCTACCGACGGCAGTACCCTGCAGAGGAGATTGACGGCACCACATGGAAGATATCACAGGGTGCTGAACCAACCAAGAACCATCGTGGCTCTCCCTACATCCATCAAATAAGTCCACTACTATGGCAGAGCCTTGCTTGCTGCACTGCTGCTGTTGTGAGGGAGCAAAAGTTGAAATTCGTCGACCACAGGTTGGTATAAATTAACACCTCCACTCCTTTCCCGAGCTCACCAATCCCATCACGGCATACTGGATGCCAACCGGTAGATTGCCCAGGCCCAATGCATTAGCGATGGCAGTCATGCTCCAAGAGTGGGTACCGTTAGCTTGATAGGTTGGAGGGAGTTGGCGGGATTGGAGGGCGGGACCAGGCTAATGGGAACCAAAAGGCTTGATCGAAGAACCGGGGATGGGGGAAGGGAAAAGAGTTCCGAGTTCTAGTTGTAACTGGAGATTTTGGCCGTTACATCATTGGTTGTCATTCAGCTCTCTCATGTTGTCGTGTTCTTTGAGCTGTGTTCTTTCTCTCATGGTTCGCAACCAGCGAACGGGCGCATGATCTCCCGCCAAAAAATTGCGTTCCCCGTTCTCCATCCCAACTCCCCAACCAACCACCCCTGCCTAGCGCAGCAAGATGGGCTGTGGCAAGAGCCGAGACTTCCCTGCACAGTCTCCACCCGCCGACAGCCGTCGGCCACGCCCATCTCGAGTATCTCGAGCAAAGCTGGACCTCGATGATGGCAAGTCATCGCCCATCCTGCCGTTGAGCAAGAAAAGCGGGCGCGTACCTAACAACAACAGCAGTGGCGGCTCATGCACCGGTGGTAACCATAAAGCAGCTGCCTCTACTTCGCACACCCTTACCCCTGCAGTAACACCGCATGGTGACGCTGCTGCTGTTGTTGTACGTGTACACAAGCGTTCGGAGCCTCGTGTAGGCCGTTCACCCAACAAAGGACCACGGAGGAAGGGGTTGGATCATGACCGGGTAAGAGTGGTCTCATCCTGTTCGATGACGATCACCAGGGAGCGGTCTGAATATGGAGGTCTCGGAGACGGGGTCGGAGGGAAGGAGAATGAGACCCCAAGCCCAGCGACCGATCGTGTCCGAACATCAACGACAGGTTTGTTCGGGGGTAGCCACAGAAGAACGAGTTCCCTGATGATTTGCAACTTCAGGTCCGCCGTGTTTTATGCATAAGATGTGTGCCTGATGCTTTGAGCCAGCTTTTGATTGTAGGCGCAAACGTGGACAACCACGAAAAAAACATCTTCGAGTTGAGCTTGGCTGGTCAATATACTGCTGTAGACTACTGCTGTATGTCCGAAAGGTTATCTACAGTCAGCAACACACGAGCCACCGTAAATATTAGGCCATAAATAATTGATTACACCACACTACAGCAGCGGTTATTTATCCGTTGTTTGCCGCACAGAGGAGGAGCGGTTCCACTACTATACAACCTCACACACCTTCTCAAACCTAAACAATCTGTCCACACAAAAGTAAATAAAAGTCAAACAACAATTGCCGATACGGCGGGGTGTTCAGGTCTTTGCATTATGGACATCGTGGAGCAGGAATGTGCGTGCTGGAACGTTGAAATGTGCCGTTGTTCGGACTCTGTGATTTCATATCGAAGGCAGCGCCTGAGTGAGGGCAGAAAAAACGAACAACCCGCACACATATCGGCGTCCCGAACGTTCACCTGCTACTTCGATATGTATGCATGTATATGTACTCACCATCACAGACCCGATTTCCTGACCTTCAGGTCTTATAGCAGTACAAGTAGCTCATACCTAGCCGCCTTGGACGACCCGCAGTTCAGGAGATTGAGGCTCGTGGCGGCAAGTACAGCAGTGACGAATGTTTGGTTTGGATCCAGATTCGTTTGCGAAATGGTTGACGGCTGCCTTCGGTATCACAGGCGCCCCAGCAGCAGATCTGAGGGTGGGTCCCAACGGGCACGTCGCCTCGAAAGCACACCTACCTCACTGACATACTTCGGAAGTACTTCATGGAAGGCATCCTATGCCAGAAGGTCGTTTTTCGACTTTTCGGCCTTGATCGCCCTGGGTTAATTTAAGACTGGTACCGATTCTTGTCCTCGACCCCTTAGGGCGGAGTGACAGACGCAGACGAAACAAGTTTCGTTTACCACGCTCCCCGTGTCTGTATCGAGACATTCGATAAGCATGTTGTCACGTATGTATGTACCCCGCTAGTTGCTTTGTTGCGAAAGACAAGTGTGTCTCTGCTAGCACGTGGAACCTTAAGCGTGTGGACTCGTCCTGGTTTTCTACCGGTTGAAGGGGGCAAGGTCATGATGCCTAATGCCTGGACAAGAGAACGTTAGTCTTCACGGCCAAACTGTGCGGTAGTTGTGCAAAAGATTACTGGTTCTCTAGGTATGTAGACCCACGTAGTACAAGTGGTGACACGCGCAATCGCTCTTGTGCATTTTCGATTCCGTTGGAGTGCGGATGCCCCGACGGTCTGTCATTTGCACCGTTTCGTAAACACTCGTACCCACCGTTGTGCTTACCAGCTCAAACCGGTGCCCCAGTAACCGTTAAGTCTTTTCGTACCCAACGGCGCTGTTCTTCCCGACGAACAGAAGGTGCTCAGCCTGCAGGTCAAGGACACAAGCAGCAGCGGCACACACCGGAGAACAGCCCGGTGGGAGCCGCAACGAAAGAGGCGGCGGCCAACTGGCCTCCGCCCCCGCCTATTCCGCTAATCCTGCACCTCTTCCTCGAGAACTACCGCCCTCGAGACTTATCGGCACTGCCTGCAGGCCGGAGCCGTGGCAGCAATGCCGGCGACGGGTCATCGTCGGTGCATCGTGTGTGGTTCACGGGTGGCTTGGCCTATGAGGGCCAGCTCCTCTGCCGAGAGGGAGGCCAGAAGCGCGTGCCGCATGGCTGGGGCAACCTCACGTTCCCGGACAAGGGTTTCTACCAGGGGTGCTGGCACGGAGGCGTGGTGCACGGAAAGGGGGCACTGCACCTTCCCAACGGCAACTCTTACCTCGGGTCGTGGGCGTACGGGCGAAAGCACGGGCTCGGGTCCTTCACTTGGGCGGACGGGTCAAGGTACGAGGGTTACTACTTGGCGGGCGAGAGGAGCGGCGTGGGGACGATGCAATACGCTTCGGGGGCCGTTTACGAGGGAGACTTCGAGGCCGGTCGTCGACACGGTGTGGGTCGGCTCGAGCTTGCTAGAGGGGGTCATACCAGGTCCTACGACGGGGATTGGGAAAACGGTAAGACTGTTTGCAGATTTGGGCACATGTATTTATATTTTTGGTTTGTTGATGTTTTCTGTGCTGTTTGCGTCGAAGCACATAGCCCAAAGCTTGGTGAGCTGTTGAGCTACATGCAGCGAAGGTCACCACCGACAGCGGGGCAGCCAGTTGTGGGCTGATCCTGCTGCCTGTCATTGCTTTCATCTTGCATCGACCCTTTGATGACACTCTCATGAGCCCACTTCGAGGGATCCCTTGTAATGTATGCACACTTTCGGTTGATCTGATGCTCATCTTTGTTCTCGAAATTGTGAGAAGAACCACAATGGTTATACAATGGCGTGAGACAATCAATCGTCACTCCAACTGTCAACTCATCACCAAACACAATACTCTTCTGGTATAAACTTGTCCAAAATCTTCTCCCGTGTACCGTCATCGAACCATATTGCTTATTGCGTTTGAGTTCACATCATTGCTATTTTATCGCACCTTCGGTTGACTTTTTTGCCCTCACACCGTTCCAAATATTTCACTTGTAGACTTGCCGCACGGCCACGGCGTGTTCGTCGACACGGCGGAAGGCGAGCACTTCTGCGGTGCCTGGCGACATGGAATCAGGTCGGGGGGGGGCACGCTGGTGCAGAGGCGGCCGGGAAAAGAAAAACGTCAGAAGGGCGGGGAAGACACGGGCGAAGAAGCGGAACGGGAAGACGAAGCGTCGTCGGAAGTCGCCTGGTACTCGGGCAACTTCGAGCACGGTTTACCCCACGGCGACGGAACGATGAAGTATTGCGGGGCGACGTTTTGCGGCCACGTGGAGCAGGGAGTTCCCCACGGGGGCGGAAGGATTGATTTCGGGGAGAAGAGCGGGGTTTCCTCTGGAGTTTTTGAGGGGTCATGGATCGACGGAATTCCATGTGGCAGTGGTAGGTGGTGGTACAAGCAGAGCGGGGTCGCGTTGGACTGTACTTTCGAACAGGGTTACTCGCGGAAAATCTGGTCCACTTGAATGTCTTCTTGAAAGCGGTATAATAAAGTCTAGGTGAAGCTTTTTCATGCTGATAGCATTCGACCTGGATGGGCTTCTTTGCCCTGCCAATGAATATTCGTCCCTAAGGGGGCTGGTGTAGTTTCTTAGTGTAGATGTTTTGACCTCGAGACATTATTAGGTGGGCACTGGTGTACTGTACAGGAAGCCTGAAAGTATTTGGCATGGCATGTTCAACCTTTTTGGCCTCGCTGGCATCGAAAAACACGTCGACAGCAGGCCAGTAGGCCAGCACTAGCATGAACGTCGATGTGCCGATGGACTACTTAGTGGTTGAGCTATGACTAGCTGCAATTGCATCGACGCTCGGTGGGGGTGATCGACTTCCCATGCCGTATATGTACAAATTTCGGTGCACCGCTGGGGAGCTTCCTTGCAGACTGCACCAAAGAAGGTTGTTCGTGTGAACGTGTCCACATGATCGCATTCTTTTGGTGGAGACGGGCCCTCAGACGTCGTGTCGTGAACGATGTCGCACAAGGATGTAAGGCCTTTGTTTGTCCGGCCAACCGGAGCCATCTATTCCTCTATCCTGTCTGTCTCTCTCGTGCGTATTGCCGGCGGTTACTTTCCTGTACAAGGGATACGTGTCGTGTCGTGTTGGTCGTGTCGTGTTGGCCGTGTGGTGTGCTGTGGTGTGTGTGTGTGTGTGTCTGTCGATTCGCTGATTGCATGTGACTCTGTCTCCTTTGCTATCGAATATTGTAGGGATCATGTGCTCAACGTTTTAATGATCTTGGATAGAGTATTGATTAAAATATGGAAAGAAAAAGTCGAGCACCCCCATAAGATGGATGTGTGTGTTAGTCGTGCGCTCTGTCACGTGTACACAGTTTGTACTAAGACCTGTGTGGTGCACGGCAGTGCGAGTTTTTTGTGTACGGGTATACCCGCGGCCAGAGGTCAGGTCGTGGGTAGGTCGGGCACCGGTTACTAACCTGGGGGGGGGAGGTTGTGCACCCCAAAGCCCCAAAGTGGGCAGGCATTCCGGCATCTCGGAGAGTGGCTGACATGGTGGGCTGGCAGCATGGACAAAAA